ATGTATACATATATATGTGCGTATATATGGATGCCATGTGCAGCTCATGTGCATAAAATGTACATGTGCTGTGCGTGCTTCTGCAAACACATCTATACATGAATGAATATTTTATGTACGTGTATGCACTTATATGTGTAAATGGGCAGCTACACGTGGATATGTATGGGTACATTTGAGGTCCATGCATATTTACGCATATATGCATGTGTATTTATAATATGATTATTCCTGTCCGGCATACTCGTTATCTAACACCATGAATTTTTTGGTTCTAGGCAGTGTAACCGTTTTTTACAGTTTGGACTTCAACAATTACTACAGCAATGGGGATCCGCGTCGCTGTCCGGAGCGAAGTATTTTGTTTAAGGTGGTGCAATCAATGAATGTTTTGGTAAAATACTGACACGCTTTATGAAATAGTGGCAAATTGAAAGCTACCATTGTACTACTTTCTAATTTTCTAAATGACGTGCAATATGGCGTATTTTGAGTTTGAAATTTCGCGCTAATACTTATTGTTACTCACTTATTCAGGCAAATCGTGTCCTTGAAAGTCGATTAGATTACTTGATTTCACGAAGAAGCTCTTTCGAAGATGGGCCACTCAATAATCAACTTTTTGAGGTGTACAGAAAGTTGGGCCACGTAGCAGTCCTTGCACAGGATTGGGCTAAAGGTTATTTTAGTTTCCCCATATTTAATGTCATATGCTGATACGTTTTTCTCATAAAAATTATACTGTTGAGATTTGTAAATGCATATTCATTGATATTCTTAAGACTCAAGTGATTCAGGTGATCCAAATTTTTATCTTTCATATTGTGTTTTGTGCGGTTTTAAAAAGTATTGTTATAGCAATTACGAGATGCTTACTTTTTATCACCTTTTTTTGCATAGTAATTAATACTACTTAAGCCCTATCTGCATATCAAGGTGCGTATAAACTCCAACCGTTTGATTACTGGAAAGATCCTGGAGCTTATTTTGGACTTGGACTAGTCTACATCCACTTTAAGGAGTTCAAACTGTGAGTTAAAAATTTTGATATAACGCTTACCGAAAAATACCATCATATAATTAACCGATGTTGAATTATGTAAGTTTTATATATCAATAGATATTTTTGGATGAACAGAAAGATTTCGAACAAATTTTATAATAGGATAAGTCTTTCGGGCAACTAGTAATCCGTCGAACATAACCATAATCTTTACTCGATTTATCATGAAATTTTCATTTAATTTCATTTTTCTTTCATAATTTTCTAAGCTTGTTTTCATTTAAAACCTGGTTGCTTTTGGCACATTTTTGTGTTATTTTTCTACATGACTTTTGTTTTTGTTCGTATTCTTTCTTATTTAATATATTATTTGGAATTTAAGAAAAAACGTATTCTTGGATTCATGTTTTCATGAGGTGGTCACTACTATAAGTTATTTTTTTTAGTGCAGCAGATTCATTCTCCCGGCTACTTTACTCATTTCCTAATCTCGACATCATTGTTGAAGTCAAGGCTCGTCTAGGAGTGTGCTATCAAAATCTCAGCGATTACACAAGAGCTTTAAAGGTGGTGTCCCTGTTTGTTCTATCGCTGTATTAATGACTCATTCTTGCCTCCTGTGATTGAGAAGAGCTCCAACCGAATTCCTGCTTATATGTTATTCAACTGGTTAAGTTGAGATTGGTTATTTGAATCGTTTTTTTTTTCTTGATATTCCATGACAGACGTGCCATATCATCATTAGTTCAATATCAATGGTCACTATCCGTTATTGATCAGTGAAAGGTTCGCTGTCTTGCGATTAGATTTTTTCTAAAGCAACAATTTTTTCGTATTTTTTGTTAGCGAAATATGTCTACGATGCAGAGTTTTTTTTCCAATTTAATTGTTAGCTTCCTTCATGTAAACCATTACATTGTATCTGACTCATATTTATTTTAGGTGAATTTTCTCGTTTTCCTGCAGTAAGTTTTTCATTCTGTGTTTCAGTTCTATAATCAAGCTCTATCCGACTCCTCAGAAACGCCTTTCCTGTCCAAAACTCATATACGATTCAACATTGCACTTAGCAATGAAAGTGCCGGAGATCTTGCAAAAGCTGAAGAAGAATATAAGGATATATTGGCTGAAGTCTCTCACTCATCAAATTTATTCTTGATGTCCTTCTGTTTATTTTCCTCTGCTATATTTTTGTGCATTTTGAATGCTAATAAATGGCAATTTAGCTTGCCGAATCACTAAGTCATCAGCAAGATAGACAATACACTCAGGAACAAACAAGACTGGTTGCAGCTGTGAACAGGCAACTAGGTGGTTGCTATTCAGTCATTGTAGCTACAAAGTATGTTAGAATGAAATGTGATTGGGTATACGGGTTTTTAGGGTGGATTTCATATCGTTTCAATTATCCTGAACAATCTGAAGAAAGAGCTCACAGACTCCACGATGCAGAGCTGTTTCTTCAAAATTCCAAGAAATTTGAGCCCATCAATGGCAAAACCTATTATTATTTGGGTCGATGTTATGGAGAAACTCTGAATAAGGTTAGTTGCTCGTTTTCGAATCTACTACTTTCTATTCTTGATCTTACAGGCCCATGATGCTTTTCTGAACTATAGACACTCAATAGACAAAAGTGAAGCAGATGCGGATACATGGTGCAGCATTGGAGTTCTTTATCATCAGCAAAATCAACCTATGGATGCGTTACAGGTTGTATTCCTTTACGTTCTATGTCATTTAATTCGGTATCTTTGTTGTAGGCATTCATATGTGCTGTCGAACTGGATCCTGAACATAGCGCTGCATGGACGAATTTGGGAGTTTTGTATGAGGTCCACGCTCAATTTAATGATGCGCTTGCTTGTTTCAGAAATGCTATAAAGTTCAACCCAGGTATACGTTAGATTAGCAGCATATCGAATACGTTCTCTGATGTATAAGATTTGTTTTTCGATCATCTGAATTCTTATTGTTCATTGACAGAGTCAACCCGGGAACAGTAAAACTTTCATTTCTCCATATCAAGGGTAGTCCAATTAAGGCTGGATGAACCGTAAAAATGTAGATTCGGAGCTATTCAGACGTTATATTGATACGTTATGTGATATGTTGATTGTTGATTATATTGATATGTTTGCGCATTCTGATATGTTCTTTTCGTATGGGTGGAGCGTCAGAAACAGTGACACGAGAACAACATACTCTATTTAATATTTCCACAAGGAAGCAGACGATTATGGCCATCGAGAAGATCCGTGTTATAGTCGTACGTGGTTTTGTCCATTGGTTTTTTGGCAGAAGTACGAGTTCTGTCTTGGTGTTGTGATTTGTGAAAAATCGGCTAGCCGTAGCGAACGCTTTTGCAAGCCTCAGCTGCTTCATTCATCACTTCTCCTCATCTCTCTTTGAGATCTTCTTTTATCGCTTCTCTGAAGCGTTTCGCAATTTTAGACGTTAGTAGTGAATTGTCTGCGGCTTTAGCTGGTCCACATTTATGGCTGAGATTAAGAGTTTTTACAAATAAAGTATTTTAGTAGTTATTTTTGCACTATCGTGAAGTTACCTAATTAGTCATACTCCTCGTCAATGTTTTCAGTGATGATATCTTTGTCCTTTTATGTTCAAGCAGGAAATTGGAATTTTGTTAAATGGTATTAACATTAACTTTTATTGTATTGAAGAAGTTCCAACTGCAGAAAATTTAGCTCACTTCTTCACTGTTAGATTCTTCGCTGACATTTTCGCTTGTTCTCTTCTTATTCCTTGATGTAATTATAATTGTGTGGTCGAAGGGCGCTAGTAATTCAATGTGACGGATAATTCAAGATTTCTCCTTAAGACCCAGTTTATATATTTTATATTTATATCGGGGGCGCAGTGGCTCAGTGGTGGTGCTGCAGTGACACGCCGGCCCGAATCAGTTCGCGGCCGCCCCCCAGGCCTACCAAGCCCGCTATCCCTCCGGGGTCGGTAAATTGGTACCAGAGGAGTCTGAGTAAGATAACTGGCACTGACTTGGTGAAGAATGGTCAACGCAAGTCATGTATAGACCAGGCACGCCTTCAACCACCTCCACGATATCACGTTGAACATGAATGCGGGGCGCATCCCACTACAAGGGATTGATCAACGCCAACAATTATCTTATTAATTATCTTTTTTCTTCATAAAATATAACAAAACGGAAAGTGCGGAATATCGCGTTCATTAACACTCTCTTCACCACTCATGACATGCGGCAATATATTCAGTGTTGATGCGTGTAGTATGTGTGATTCTAGCTTTGCGCAGTGGCGGTAATGTGACCAATGAGGCTTTGCCGAGGTGCGTTTATTGCTGGTTGAAAACTTTTCCCAATCGCCTGCGATGGACCCTAAAACACGGAGCCATGCGCAATTTTTGAATGCCCTAAGGGACAGATTTTAGTGAGGTTGGAACGTGGTGTTGTGTAGGCTGTAGTCGTACAGCAACAAAAACAACATTGCAGTTTGTAATATGGGAAAGTTAAAGGTCTTTGTGTTAGCACTAACTAAATCATTTAGAAGATGAGAAATTGCGAAATAACGCGCAACTTTGCGACAATTCATTGTCTAATTACTTCATATATTCATATTTTGTATTAGCTTAATTTCCTCTTATTCTATCTTCTATCATTCTTAGAGATAATCTTTCAGTTAGAGGTTAAATATCCCTAATGATATTGAGTACATCGGAAAACTTGGAACCTTAGGCGGAAACTACTTTAATTCAAAAGCCACGAACTGTGTGGTACGAAGAGAATGTCTGGAATCATCCTGTTCAAAATAACTAGCCACCATATTGGTCTCATACTATATTTTTAGTTAGTGTTAGCTATAAGAAGTCATTAGTTTAAGTCGATTTATTTGTTAGGGAGAAATGAAGGACAAATGAACACTATTGTTGCATTTTTGACGTTTGTGGTGTTCATAAAGATCGGAAAGGCAGACGCACGATGATTTGGCTGTAGGATTTTGTTTTTTATTTTATTTTTTCTATGACATTTTTATTTCTGATTTATTACTTGTACGGAAAATTGGTGTTCTGAAAAACTTTTTGGTTTGAAGAGTGTTTAATGAAT